GGGAGCGTTGGTGCCATTTAAGAAAAGATTTTTTATCTGCATCCATTGTTAACAGCACCACAATAGACGACTTTCATAACTCAGTTTTTTCAGATAGAGAAAATGAAGCCTTTTTACCAGAAACTATTAATGCTATCTGAGACAATACTTCACGAAAACTATTTCCAGAAAATTTTGTAGAATTTGACTGTGTACCAAAGAAGTTATGTAAGAACGAAAATAGAGAGTTTTGTATGTATTTATCACTGGAAGCCTTGGTGGCCTCGTTTTGGTGCATTTTCAAAACTTAAAATGCTCACATCTTGTAAAGGATTTATCAATTTAAGAAGAAACTCACACGCCTTATCTAAATCAACAAGATCAATAATTTGAAAGGGTTTTCACTCCAAAAAACATTGATTTTTAATGTTTATGTAAATTAGCAGCAGCCAGTTATGAAAGTCGTGTGTGTCATCATGCTTTTGTCTTTTAACTCTCTTGGGAATGTTTGCAACCCATTAATTGAAAGTCTATAAAAGCTATCCAAGGAGATGAAGTGATGAGAGGGGAAAAAAGTATATTTATGCAAATAAACCCACGGTTAGAGTAGAACAACATTAAATAACATATTTTTTGAATCAATCAAGGTGCACGAAACCTCGGTAGAATGAATAATCATTTAAAGTCGATAAAACAAATCCAACCAAATGAAATTAAACGAGTTATTTTGTGTCTGATTCAGGTACAATCGTGGCGAAATGCTTTCCATCTACTGCAGAGCAGGAAATAAAAAATGCCTTGAACCTGCTCGGGAGTTTTTCAGAAAATGGATGGCCGACCCAGACAAAAACCCGTACGTAGTTTTCGTTTGTTGTTGTTTACATGTAATGAAACTAATCGAACTGTGCAACTACATGACCAACTAGATGACTGACTGACTGACTGACTGACCGACCGACCGACCGACCGACCGACCGACCGACCGACCGACCGACCAACCGACTGACTGACTGACCGACCGACCGACTGACCGACCGACCGACTGACTGACTGACAGCCGCTTACCAAACGAGTGATTGATTGATTGATCCTTCCCCAGTGTCCCATCAAACTTCCGTTCCCTAGTGTACTACTATGGTGTCGCCGGTGGTGGAGAAGAAGAGTGGAATTTCGTCTACGAACAATTCAAAAAATCTAATGTCGCTACAGAGAAACAAAAACTGATGTACGCAATGGCTGCCTCCAAAGAACCTTGGATATTAGAAAGGTATGTAGCATGTACTGGGATCCCTA